AGATTGTAGAAAACGTTCTTCAATTATTGGTGTAATATATATTTCATTCTTCAACTATTTTTTCTTGTACTTTTGCCCTAGTTATCTAAACCGGATAGATCTAGCCCTCACAGTTTTTTTTTGTGTTGACAAGCGCCAGTGTGGATCATGACCTATTAAAAAAATGTGGATCATAGCCACCTTAAGAATAGAGTAAAATCAATCTTCCCCAACATGTCCACATGTACTATAACAAGTCCATTTGTCTCTCTTTACTTCTAATGCCATCTTTATAACTAAGCGACACTGCGTCTAGGCCGCCTTCCACTGGAATAAACTACTTAGAAGGACTTATTCTCTCATAGTCGTCTTTCAACCTCTGCTGCAATGGACTGGTGTGGAGTGGACATCCACCCGCATCTGCTTTGATTTCTTTAATGAGGATGAACCCTGCTTCCATTGGATTGTTGTTAGAGTTCTGTTCTGGTCACTTGCTGTCATCTGTGAAATTTGAATATTTGTCCCTCTAATGAATATTCCAAATCGAGTTATTTGCTGTGGACGTATGTATTGTGTGGTGAATTACGAGTTACAGTTTATTTCTAAAACGCATTGTGCCATACTTGATGACCATACCTGAAACTCTTAGTTTGTACAGTTCATCTTGTTGGTGCTTTAACTGATTTATTGCATGAAATTGTAAGTATTCTTTGTAAATGATAATAACATCTTGAGATTTTTTATTTTAATTTTCGGAGCAGGCCTTAATAATTAATGGAGTCAGATCTGCTCATCAGACAGGAGGAAGTTGGAGCCGAAAGAGGAGATGATTTTCGCAGCAGGTGTTGGGAGATATTTAATTGGGATGTCTTTGATCCTGATGAATTACTTCCGAGGCGACAAGCAGTGAAAGGTTCGTGGTTTTGCGAATGGACTCATGATTGCTTATTTCCCTTCAAATTAGTACATACATATAGCTCCATGGGTACTGTTTGGCCCTGCACTGGTAACCAGCAAAATCGCTTCTACCTTGTTGTGGATCCAGGGAGTGGAAAATGGCAGCCTGTTGGTCACAAACGAAAATGTTCTAAAACTAACAATCCATCAACAGCAAAGGATATGGAACAAGACTGTATTTAAAGATTATTTGGATAATAACTCATGATGATTAATCTGACACTGATACATGATGATATTGGTTGAAGTCCCTGATGCATCGATCTGCACAGGGCTCCCTTACATAGCTTGAGCTTCAGCTTATGGGCAAATAGTGGGGCCAATTATATTTTGCTGGCCTGTGACCATAATTGGTATGGAGTGGCCTCTGACGGTTTTTGTGGCTGTTGGTAGCTCTAGTTGGGCTGTTTTTACCTTCGCTGTTAACATTGTTGCAGCAGCTGAACATACTGTTTACCTTTTTTCTTGTTTTTTTTGCACCTTTACGGATGCTGAACGGTATCCCTTTTGATAGTGGAACCTGAACCATATTGGATCGTATGGGAAAAAAAGTGGGGCCAATTACGATTCTTATTCTATACTAATGCATGGAATTGAAATGGGCAACTAACAACTGGTTTTCTGGAGTAAATAGCATAAAACTACTACAATTCGGGTTAGGGTTTCAAAAAACTACCGAATTTTAATTTTTCGTTGATAACTACCAAGTCCGGGGTCGGCTGTTTCAAAAAACCCAAAACGCCGAGTCCTTATCAGTTGATCAAGATTATGACAGTTGGAGCCCACACATAAGATAATCATTTGTTTGACCGTTTACTTTGACCGTTAACTTACATGTGGGTCCCACCTGTAAGTTTTCTAAAAAGTAATCAGGTCCCTGTAAGTTTTCTGAAAAAGCAATCAGGTCCCTCTGAGTTTTCAATCAGATCCCTACATGTTTTTGCAAAAAAGCAATCAGGTCCCTCCTCCCGATCCAGAGGAGCCGCGTCGCCAGGAGCTCGATCCCGAGCGCTCTGCCCGAACGCCGCCTCCCCCGGCCGGCGAGCCATGCCTGCAGCGGCCGGATTGACGCCGTGCATCTCCTGCGGCCGGCGAGCCGCTCCTCTCCTGCGGCAGCCGCTTCGCCCTGCCTCGCCTGTGGCCGCCGCCTCGCCCTGCCTCGCCTGTGGCCGCCGTGCCTTGCCTCCCTGCGGCCGCTGCCCTGCCCTTCCTCGAGTCACGCCCGCAGCGGCCGGATCCACGCCGTTCCTCGCCTGCGGTTGCCGCCACGCCGTTCCTCGCCTGCAGAGGCGGAGGTGCGCACTCCAGCAGCGGCACAGGTATGCCTCCTCGTCGCCAACTCCCCCACTAAGCTTCGGCGAGCACCTCGCACGATCATGGGGAGGCTGGGGAGGGGAGGGAGTGTGGTCGCCAGCTCGGGAGGGGAGGGGAGGATCGCCGGCTCGGGAGACACCGGGGAGAGAAGAGAAGAGACAGAGAGGAAGAAGAAAGAGAGGAGGAAGAGGAAAATGACATGTGGGCCCATATGTCAGTTAACAGTCAAACAGACGGTCAAACAGATGGTTGGTTTAGGTGCGGGCCCAACCTATCATAATCGTGATCAATTGTGAAACATTCGACATTTTGGGTTTTTTGAAACAGCCGACCCCGGACTTGGTAGTTATCAGCGAAAAATTAAAATCCGGTAGTTTTTTGGAACCTTAACCCGAATTGTAGTAGTTTTATGCTATTTACTCGGTTTTCTGGTGTGGTTATTTTAGGAAAATTGGATGAGCAAAAAATCAATGGTCGACCAAAGGAGGTAAAGAATCAAGATCAACAAAAAGGTACAAACACGACTTCCATATATACTACAGAAAAAAGTAGCTGCAGCTATAACACAAATGGGGCTTTAAACATTGAGTCTGTATTGATCTTTATATCTTAAGACTCTTAACACTATAATTCATCTGGGAGATTTCTGAATTTGGTCTAATCTTCATGGATCAAAAGGTAAATAGTAGAGTTAGAAGAGCAAATACTAGCAACACTCACGAACCTGATAGCATTCGGCAATGAACTCGACCGACAAACACTCTTTGTAGATGTCATGAATTGCACACAAATACTCCCTCCGTTCCTAAATATTTGTCTTCTTAGAGATTTTAAATGGACTACCACATACGGATGTATATAGACATATTTTAGAGTGTAGATTCACTCATTTTGCTCCGTATGTAGTCACTTGTTGAAATCTCTAGAAAGACAAATATTTAGGAACGGAGGGAGTAGCACACCTTGCCTCTTGCAAATCCAAGAACAGGTGAGAAATAGAGGCGGAGGTGATCTCCTATTCCTATGGTGGCTTTGAGCTCAAACCACTGGGAAGGAGCTAATTTCGACTTCCAAATTGTTCTAAAACTTGTCCATCCCTAGGAAGGGAGGTTAGGGATGTTAAAGATAGAAATATACATGGATTTCATACTTGGATCATTTTCCGTTTGCTGGTTTTCTATTTATGGTCAACTCATGAACATTTGCTGTACATTTTGCTAGAGCCTGATGGGATAAACTAGTTGTGTATATATTCCTAGAGCCCGATGTACTGCTACATTTGCCACCTGCCGCCATGGAGTTTTTTTGGAGAAGGGTTGTGCCATTCTTTCTGAAATTAGAAGGAAACAAGCAGTATATTTTTGGTCCCTCAACCATCACTAGTTTATTTTTTGGTCCCTCGGCTATTGCTAGTCTATTTCTAGTCCCTCAAAAAAAAAATCATCAGCAATTGCAAGCTTTTTCTATGTGTAGACTTGATGAATATTTTGCAACCCTGATTGTTTGACAAATTTTAGTATGTGTTTGTTTGTTTTGACTACAGCACCAATAATGAAAATTGGCATGTCTTCCATTTACCTTACGGCATGTTGGAGGGCTCCAGATTCGGACGCGTGCTACATCTGTGGACAGGACGGTCACTATGAGCAGTCTTGCCATTACAATTATATCTATGGGCGATATGGGTTATATGACCAACACACTTGTAGAGCAAACTGCCTTCCTGGACCACACACAATGGCCATGGCTTGTCGGAACTCTTTGCAGAGTTTCATACGCGTGAATAACATGCCATCACGCTTCTGTACGTGGGACCTTCGGAAGCTTTTGGAACCATTCGGACCGCTGCTGATGTGCCACGTTCCAATGGGCAGTTCTGAAGTGCGCAGGGGATATGGGGTTGTGATCTTCAAGGATCGTGGGGATGGGGAGAGGGCAATCGAAGCGCTCAATGGCTATCTCGTAGGCAAAAGTAAACTGCGAGTTGACTGGGCTTATGCAATGGCCCAGGCGGTAGACCAAGGGAGAAATGCAATATCTCGAAGACAAAGAGGGTTTTCAAGAGCCGGCCTCCGCTGCAAGGTGTGGTCGCAACGAACCACTTGGCTAGTTTTCATTCAAAGGTACCTGTTTCCTATGGTATTTAGGCGTTCCTGAGTCCAGGCTGTTTCCAGGGCCGGGGAAACAGCGAGCTCTTGGTTTTCTCTTACCCAAGTTTTGGAGATTCTACCCCTCCTGTAATACGCTCTTGCTTAGGAAGAGTAACAACACAGTGCCGATCAATGGGGCAGGGGAGGAACGTAAGTCACTGGTGTTCATCATCTTTGGGTGTTTCAAGCTCTTATTTCTTCAATTGATTTCATATATTACGCCAACTTGCGTTGACAATTATATCTGAATGGTAGATTTTACTGTAAGAGTTGAAACTGATAATAATTTTGATTCGAACAAGTAGATGAAGATTGTTATTGATGGAACTGCCGTTTAAAATCTTTTTTAGGAAGCAATGTTGTCTAATAAAAATAAAAGGTAGGGAGAAATTCGGGGCATCACGCCCTTTATTTTAGGACTGATTTCCCCATACTCATTTCCTGTGACCGGTCTAAATTTTTGAAGAGGGATTTGATTATTATTTTTTTGGCGGAAAGAGGGATTTGATTATGTGCACATGTTTTTCCGCATCACTGCGATGCACACAGCCATATTAACTGCAAACTAACATAAGTTTCTGCTGCCTTTCAGGACAAAAAATGAACGTGGAAAGTAGTGGTGCCATCAAAACCAGTTGGAGGGATCCCGACGCTAAATCCTGCTGGATCTGCGGAGACGTGGAACGAGGGCACTCGGAGCCGACGTGCCCTTACAACTACCTATCTCCCGCCTCATACGCTCCCTGCAGGACACGGCTGCTCCTCTGGCAACACGAAACCAGTCGCGCATGTCCGAGGCCTAAAGATCTCGATGCGACCAGCTTAAGGCGACTCAAGTTTCTGCGGTGCTTCGTGCGCGTGAATAACCTGCCGAGGCATTGTTGCCCGGAGAAGCTTGTCGGCCTGTTCGTCCGGTTCGGGCCGCTGCAGAGCTGGCATGTCGCCTTTGCTGATCATGGCTCCGGTGCCTGCAGCGGCTTCGGCTACATGGTCTTCCGGCACCGTGCGCATGCGGAGGAAGCCATTGACGTGCTCAATTGCTGCGTCTTTAGTGACCGTAAGCTGCGAGTCGACTGGGCTTATCCTTGCGCGTAGTGGACGGAATCGTGAGTTTTGAGGTCGGGCTGGAACTAGAAATGTGGTTGGTTTTTCTTTTCTCGAATCTTTTTTTTTTTGAGTTCAAGAACCTGGATCAGTGAAACGAAATTTGTTTGGTTGGCACATGTTACCCGTGTCACCGTGTGGGACCCCGTTGCAGTGTTTGGCCTAAGATTGTAAAGCACAAAGTAATCAGAATAAACTGAAGCTGTTGGAGTAGACAATGGACTGCCTTGTTCATTTTGCTTTACTGCATGGTGTAGTTGAAGTACTCCTCTGCCATGCTGTGATCCTTGCCTGATGAATTCAGACGACCCCTTTAACTTTTTGCCTAATATAGTACTATACACCGCAGGTCCGATGCAGTTCAGTTATACTCCCTCCCTTCCAAAATAGATGACCAAAGTTAGTATAAAATTGAGTCATCTATTTTGAAACGGAGGGAGTATATATGTATGTTGCGTCTGCAGCAGAAGCAGTAGGATTGGTTGTGCTTGAACATGCATCCACCCAACCGAAAGTGTTACTCTCGCCGTTCCTTTCGTCGGTCGCCGTCGACCGATCCACATCATGATTTTGTCCATCAAGCAATAGATTCCCAGCTGACTGTTGGCTGTTGCTAGCAGCAACGCCTACTTGCTTGAACCACACTCGAAACGATGGCGATTGCAATCTACGGAGTAATCGTGGATGGGAGAAGAAAGGCTAGCAGCAGGCACCCTCTCGATTGCATTGCTCTCCACAGCACACGCGGCATGGTGGGTACGTAGGACAATCACCGCGAAACCTATCACGTTTCTGCGTCAGTTCATCCGTCCTGCTGGCTTGTGCTACAAGCTCACGCGCGTACTGTGCGTTACGATGATCCATCACCTCCTGGTTTTCGCATCCGATGGAATGGACATGCCATGCTCCTCGACTGGCCGGCAGTGGGCGCACGGGCTGCACTGGCCTCACACCTGTGGCCCTCTTCTCATGCCGCCTCTGCTACGTTCCAGCGATCAGGTACGCAGGTTGTCCCCCGTCGTTTTCATTTACCAGATGCCAAAACGGCTCATTTCAAGCTCTGAAGAGGGAGCCCCCACCCCACATGCTAGGGGAGCTGGCTGTGATGGATGGATGCTAGCGTTGGTTTGGTTTTGGTTTTCCAAGACCTGAGAAACGAACACGGAGGAGGCTCTGATTCCTTGAGTAAAGTGCGCGAGAACGAACGGGACAGGTGTGCGGCCCTACCTTCGATTATTGGCCTCGCTTTCTGCTCCGTTGGCGCATCTAGCGGAAGGGCATCTCGCAATTCACAAGCCCTTTTTGTCTCTGTCTTGTCTTGCTCCAAGTCAACAGTGCTTCGCGAGTTCAGATCAATGATGTTCTTCTTTTTCTATACTATACATGGTTGTTTCAACTGTTAATTATCTCATGAAACCACTGGTAGTTTGTCTAGAGCTAGCGGTGAACCCCAATTATTGGTGCGGCTCTCGTAGGTCGTCACGGCACTGATGAGTGTAAGCGAGCTGAGTTGGATTAGTTAACTGGACCAGCTCGAGGGACGGGGCCGTGCTTGTCTTGTCTGTCTCTAGCTAACCATGCCACCGCAAAGTTGCTGCTACTGCTACTGCATCGTGTTAGAATAAATCCGAGGCACTCCGTCGATCTACCGAGGACCAAGCAATCACACGAGGCACGACACCGAGATTTGTTAACGAGGTTCACCGATATGACTACATCCACGGGGCCTGACTACGGGCGCTCCTCCCCATGACACCGTCACAATACCGCACCCTGGTCGCCCGGGCGCCGGCACACGCCGCCGGCTCCCCCCCGTGCTCGTGCTATTATGTTGGCATAGGTTACATCGTGTGTCTACCTCCGATATATATGAGAGGCCTAGGATACAAGTGTCCTATTAAGACACAACTCCTACCCTGTCTACACACGGTCCAAAGCCAAGTCCAACTATAACCTAACTTGTACAATAATATTCGACACAATTCTAACAAACTCCACCTTGGCGAATATTCTCCATCATCTTGGATTCGTCCATGCGTCGAACCTTCATGTACATTGGACTTGAGATACGCCATGAGCACCGCTGCTACTCCCAGACTCCATGTGACTCCACCTGCAACTGTAGTCCCTTCTTGTCTTCTTCACAACCAACACTCGAGCAAAATTAAGTTCCTCATTACTCTACCTTGTGCTTTCAACTTCCGAAGAATCCGTTCAACGTCATCACACACCGACCACTGTCTGCATGAAAATGAACAACTCATATATTGGACACCACATATAAGAGTTACATGAACTCAACGTCACCGCTCTTTCTTGACTGATTGTCTGAAACTTGAAGGAATTCCACCGTCGCCCTGTGTCACCCTGAGTCAAATTCGCAGTTGTCTCACCCTTCTTCCGGATAGTCTCTGGCATGTCCCACAGCTATAGCACTCCGCCTCCTTCTGTATTTGTCATTCACACTTTGCCATGTGCACTGAACACCACAGAATATACGGCCATGTACTCTCTCAGCCTTTGACAATTTCAGAATTTCCGCCACTTTCTCAGATTCTCCACGGTCAACTCATGTCCATCAACCGGCACCGATAGACCCAGTTACCAACTTGAATCTGGTACTCGTCAACACTGCTTCAGCACCCCTGCACAATTTGTCTGGCCACATGTCTGACCACCAGTGCCTTGGCCTGTCACTGTGTCCCGTGCTTACCGCACGCCTCGCCGCTATCACCGCGTCGAGCCTCTGCTGTCCTGGTCGAGTCTCCCGGGTAGCTAGCCCCCACTGCCTCAACCCCCACTACAGAGAACCATCGATCATCACCGACCGATGCCGAGTATCACGTCTCCATCAGACCACTGGTACCCAGTCCGATCCACGTGTCTCTCTCTATCCCGCTGAAATAGGCTTCGATTCTCCGATATCTTACACCGTAGCCCCTCCATCAGCACAGAGCATAGTCATCCATCAGACTCCAGCTCCACCTTCAACATGACTCCATGTAGCTGCGCTATGCTACCCTCGCGCTCCGTCGATTTCAAACTCTCATGTGTGCACTGCCTTGAATCAACCCTGCGCCATAGTCTTGTCGAAGCAGCACAAGCCCTCAGGCCTGCACCACGTGTTTCCACGCCCAGAAGTCGTCCACCATCAGCATCACGCTCCTATGTCGTCGTCGCTGAAATCACCACCGTCTTCTGCTTTGACCAACATCCATGTCGGTCCATCAAACTGTCCAGTCCGACCCAGCCGAAATTATCCGACTGCAAACATGCTCCACCCTGCGTCGTGTCCGCCTCACATATCTGTGCATTGCCTTGACGCCCTGTGTAGGCATGATCCCTGTCACGACACACTGTTCTCCTCCACATACTCTGAGCCCTCTCAGCAAATCTTGATAGAAAAGACTTCCATGCAAACCTGACCTGAAGAATACTTTGCATAATTATTATTTTCTGTCACTATTTGCTTGTGCTTCTCCATATACCCTTAGCAGCAAAGATCTGAATCCATCTCCTAGTTGCCTACGTACACAAACACACACTCATATCATGTGAAGCTTAACACACTCGTGCCTCTTTTTTCCTTTAAACAAATCCTCGATCCATTGCCTCTCGTCAGACCAACAAACCTTGCTCCCGATCAATTAGCTCACAGCCTACTTCCACACGGTGACACGCATCTATCAGCCCCGCCTGCTTGAGTGGCTCCCATCAGCCCCGCATGGGCCTCACACCACAGCACGCTGCATCCCCAAACGACCCACAGGGCCATAGCTCCAGCTTGGGCCGGCCCAATTCTGGCTGGGATTCGGCCCTTGCACCGCGCTCTCGCAGCCTGTGTTGCTCTCGTCGCTGGCTATGCTCGCCTGCTAGCGCTAGGGTTCCTGGCGCTCGATGCCTGGCACAGCCGCCACACAGCCGATCGAGCCGATCGACTGCACGTGCACCGCCAAAACGTCCGGCTGCTGCCTCCAATCGGTCTAGTTCAATCCGCCGAGAAGTGTCACCGCTCCCAATTGCTTCACCATGCCAATATCACCGCAGGCACACCGGGCGCAACGTCAAACCCATCGCCTCTGAACGCGATCTTGGCTTCTCTCTGCTTCCACGCGAACCATACGAAATCAGCACACCTCCTCTAGATCAATCATCCATGACCGTCGAACATCAAACCTTGCTCATGATACCACTTGTTAGAATAATTTCGAGGCACTCCGTCCATCTACCAAGGACCAAGCAATCACACGAGGCACGACACCGAGATTTGTTAACGAGGTTCACCGATATGGCTACATCCCCGGGGCCTTACTACGGGCGCTCCTCCCCATGACACCGTCACAATACCGCACCCCGGCCGCCGGCACATGCCGCCGGCTCCCCCGCGTGCCCGTACTATTATGTTGGCATAGATTACATCGCGTGTCTACCTCCGATATATATGAGAGGCCTATGATACAAATGTCCTATTAAGACACAACTCCTACCCTGTCTACACACAGTCCAAAGCCAAATCCAACTGTAACCTAACTTGTACAATAATATTCGATACAATTCTAACACATCGAAACTGCGCCTGACTGCGAAAACAATAGCAGCAGCAATTGGGAGTTCATTGGACCTGTGGTTTGTCTGTAACCACGGAGCTAGGGGGCGCCGTCGCTTCTAATTTCGCAAAGCCAGGCCCGGCGTCGACGTCGGCGACGGATAAGACCACCGGAAGATGACCGACTATTTTCACGGTGGGGGAGACTAGTCTGTTCCATGTGGGTCATGATGCTCCTCGTCGAATCACACACATAAACAAACCTCATGCCGTTTCAGAACCAGAACCAAAAGCATCGTCGAAACAGAAAAAGGGTGGTAAAAAGGACCAGCAGGAGCACTCGCCACGGCGGGTTACACTCCACTTGGCCGATGCTTATTCCGCGTCCACATCGGTAGGGGCCGTGCCGACGTGGATCCACCAAGGCACGCGGTCACTAACACGG